TTTTCGGGAGACAACTCTCCAGTATGATGTCAATATTGACTTGGGAAGCGTGCAACAAGTTATTTGGTGATTGCCTTCAACTCAGTTGAAAAATTAGAGAATTTAATGAACAGGTTCAAAAGGATACTGCACAATAGAACCTATCGCATTCAACACAGCTGGACTGAGAGAACTGAGATTCTCTTGTTAACTAAAAGCATTGAAAGCAAGCATTCTACTCATGTCAAAGTTGCACTCAAAATACAGTGCAAGTATCTTGGTTAACGAAACCTTCAAGATGGAAAACATGTCACCACGGATTTAAGAAACCACGGCTATTGGTTGTTGATCAGGTGGTTGTTGATCTGTTCGCCGAGCTTGGCTATTGGCTTGCAAACGTTTCGTCACCATACGAGGAGACATCATCAGTGCGCAGTTGGGTGGGTACTTCTTCCTTGCCTGCGTGTGTTTATATAGCAGTCAAAGGCTATCTGTTATCTTCTGACGTGATTGGCTACCTGAAGTGTAACGAGTCTAGTGAATCTATTGGTCCGTTTGTGATCCTTGTTGCGTTGTGGTCTGTGTTCCTTTGTGTTGATTGGTTATCCCAACGGCTTCTAATTTTAGTAGCTTGTTCTCTCTGGCCTTGATTCGCATTGCGTTGTGGTCTGCGTTCTCGAGTTTGATTGGTTGCTTGTACCGCCCTATTTGCTCCACTGTGGCGGTTAGTGTCCCTGCGTCCGCCGGTTGATTTGGTGCTTTGATTGGGCGCCTTCTCTACTCCAATTGATGCGTCCGTTTGAATGACGCTTTCCTGCTTCTCTTATGAGTTCCTCGTCTGGTCGCTTTTGCAGCTCTAAACTCTGTGGTTCTGGCGTTCTCTCGCTCTTAGTGGCTGGTAAATGGGATCAAATTCAATGTGTTTGCTGATGGCTTCTTCGGTGGAGTACCACGCTTCCATAAATTCGCGTTCTCGTTTTGTTCTTGCTTGAGCCAGTATGCGAACGCCGCTCCAGTCGAACTCGTGTCCTTCTTGGTCTTTGTGTGCGGAGATGAGGGAGAATTGATCGTGTCTTTTAGTGGCGAGTTCGTGTTCATGTATTCTGGTGGTGAGCTTCCATCCTGTTTGTCCTACATACCGTTTGTCGCAGTCCTTGCATTGGATCCTGTAGATGACATTGTTCTTCGCCATTGGATCTAATTTCCCCTTTGGTCTTGATAGTGTCCTCCGCAGAGTATTCGCAGGCTTGTAGGCGGCCATTGTATTGTGCTGTCGTAGGGGCATTGCCGTCATTTCAGTGGTGTTCTTGATGTACGGAAGTTGCTTGCAGTTTGTCCTGTTGCATCGATCGTATTTGGCTTCCTGAGTGTTCTCCAGATGAAATTCCCCGGGTATCCATTTTTCCGAAACAATTTATATAGGCGCTTTTCTTCTTTGATCCTGGATTTTTTTGTGATACAGTGTGTCGATCAGCTTGTAAAGTGTCTGAATACAGCTTCATTTGTGGCAATTTGGATGGTTGTTCCTATAAAAACACAGGCAGTCAAGAGAGAACTACCCACCAAACTGCGCACTGATGATGTCTCCTCGTATGGTGGCGAAACGTTTGCAAGCCAAGCTCGGCGAACAGATCAACAGCCACCTGATCAACAACCAATAAACTCACCCGAGCTACCAACATTTCACCACATTACCAAACCATGGCTAGTTCAAGATCATGCTTTACAAAATTAAATGGCCCTGTGAACATGTCACAAGCAGAAAGCAAAGCAATCATGGCTCAAAGGAATAAACAGTAACATAGAGATGAGCGAATCAGTAGAACTCCCAAGAAAGACAGCATGAATTTCTTCAAACGATACTATAAAATAGCGAGACCGGGTAAAAACAGCTGGGCTACCCAAATTTTAGTCCGAAGTGAAGTCACGAGACAAATTGCTCAATGTGTGTCGCGCAAAGATATACCTAAGCATAGATTTTCTTTCCGAAACCAAAGGTATCTTTTATGGACCTCTCCGAAAAACAACGCCTCGGCCACGAGCAAATTGATGACTTGTTTCACCTTTTACATGGACATTTATAGATATCAAAACATTATTTTCGTTCGACTCCGGTATCAGCCATGACAAAGGCAACAATAATAATTGGGCGCAAAAGGATGGAGCAACCTTATCAGTACCTTTCTTTACTAGTGTGCGTTTCAACTGCGAACCCGGAAAGGACGACAGTGCTTGCGTTAGACTCCTCAGCGACTGCGTGCGTGAAGATGGTGACAAACTGAGGCTGAGCGTTGACCATTCAATCAAATTTATGAGAGACAACCGTATAGTTTCTCCGTTTTGGCCAACGCACTTACTACAAACTCCAGGTTTTTCTGGCGACTTTACCCTTGCGATTTTTTTTATTTCAAACTCTTAAATCCTCATTCTAGTTCCTAATGCTCAATCCTTGTCTGACAATCCAACATCTAAAAGAGGATTGCTGTACCACATGGGCTCCGATAAAATGCTCCGAAAACCCTAACTGGATGAAGTGTGATTTAGTCCCCAATAGGGCCAATGAATTTTTATCAAATTTCCCTAACTACCACCTCGAACATTCGTTTCTTATTTCAGTACTGATGAATTTGGTTGGTCCACTTTTGATAGATAGGTTGCGTGACACGCAGTCAGTCAGCTCACAGACAATAATCACGCAAACTTAAAACGTTGCAGGGATATCATATGAGATGCGGAAAGAGACGTGACGAAAGATTGGATAGGAAATAAAGTGTGGATTAAACGGTAAATTGGGGATGAAAATGATGCAAACTTTCGAGCAGCGCAATCCGACAAAGAAACCAACTTCGGTTTCCACTGTAGTGCGGTTCGGTGTAGATATAGAGTTTCAGTTCTGAAAAATGAAGGTTCTTCAAGGCGGGCATCTCCTTTTGTGAGCACTTTGGTGGAATAATAAAACAACACAATGAAACAACCAAAGCAAAGTAAAATAGTGGGAAATGGAGCAGTGAAGCTAGACAATTTAAAGAGGCGTGCTTACAACACACCACGCATGAAGTCCTTTATGGCACCGTTCCCGAATTTACAGCGATAAGCTCATCAGATGTTTTACACGATCACACTGGTGGTAGAGTTCTGTTAGCCGTATCAAATCGTTCGTTCCATAGTGGTGTCCGATTCAGTGGATTGTTCCACACTGCAAAACTGTCTCGTTACTTTGAAGGCTATTCCATGATATGCGATTCTCCACTGTTTTGTTTAAAGTAATGGGAAAGTTTGCATCAGTTTAAGAACTCGCGGTGGTTACCAAACAATATCTGAGTGTTTGTTGGTGGCTTTGGAAAGTGCGAAATATCTGTGCCTTTTGAAACGAAAAACGTCATGGCCAGTCGCACTTGTTAAACCTGCTGGATGTCGACTGGGCCTGGGAACCGAGGAAATTACGCAAACCTGTACTTGACAGAATCAACAAAAATTGAGCTAAAGTTAAGTCAGTCAACTTCAAACACCGATCGGCTGATTACTTTTTGCACACATTATTCTGCACTTTAATGCTTGTTACTATGAATGTGTAAGGATTTCATCAACTCATCGACCAGGTATTCTTGCGTTTGGTGATAGCTTACCAACCAATTTCCTTCATCAAGATTTAGTTCCATGCATCTAAGAGGCTATTCGGTTCCCTACTTTCCTCAAGGTGGATTTTGAGTAATGCGGTTCATCTTCGCGGAAACACTGAGTTATTGAGTAAAAATGCACTGCGAATATTCAGACTACGAAGCATAGCTAGGTCTGCCATGATAGCTTCTTCATCGTTTTTGGCTGAAGAAACGCCGCGGGAATACGCATTGCACTGGATGCATTCAAACTGTTCATCAATAACAAGTAGTGCTGCTTCACTTTACGTGGTGACACCAAGATCCGCAGTGAACAATGCGGATATCATAGCTGTGGGAGACAATGCTACCCTTAAAAATATGAATCTTTCAGACATGAAACTAAGTGCATAATTAATGACGCAGTGCTCTATCAGCTGATTTACGAACAGAGGCTTTTCTTTGCAATGTTTTCAGCATAACGAGTTTTTAACTTGGGATATTTGCGATGACACTTTCAAATCAATCTGTAGAAACTCTAGGTTACTAGCCGTCGACCGATGGACACAGAAAATAGCGAAATTTATAATACGGGAGAAAATTCTCCAAAAACAAGCCAGTTGCTTTTCATAAAGGAAACTACTGACAAGTTTGCTGGAAACTCTTCGACAGCCCGCGACCGGTTTCGCCCTTCTTGCGGCTCATCAGGTAGGCGTAGTCAGTTTGGTCCCTCGTGAGTGTAGTTCTCGAAAATAGTCCAATTTGGGTCAAGTAGAAACATAAGGTTGAC